AAGTCCATTCTCTAGTAGGTCTGCATCTTTATTCCCATCTTGCCCCTAGGTTCTTCTGACCATTTTTTCTTTTTCTTTTCTTTTTTTTTAGATTCCATATATATGTGTTAGCATATGGTATTTGTTTTTCTCTTTCTGACTTACTTCACTCTGTATGACAGTCTCTAGGTCCATCCACCTCATTACAAATAACTCAGTTTTGTCCCTTTTTATGCCTCAGTAATATTCCATTGTATATATGTGCCACACCTTCTTTATCCATTCATCTGTTGATGGACACTTAGGTTGCTTCCATGTCCTGGCTACTGTAAATAGAGCTGCAATGAACATTTTGGTACATGACTCTTTGAATTATGGTTTTCTCAGGGTATTTGCCCAGTAGTGGGAATGCTGGGTCGTATGGTAGTTCTGTTTTTAGTTTTTTAAGGAACCTCCATACTGTTCTCCATAGTGGCTATATCAATTTTAGCATTTTTTTCTCCAGAAAAATAATTATTAATTTCATTAATTTTTCCAAAGTATTACTTTGATTCAACAGACACATATAGCATCTATATTCCATACACTGTGCTAAGGAAACAGAGATGAGTAAAAACACATAATCTTGTGCTCAAGGTTATAATATAGTAGAAAACAAGATAATTAAGCAATGTTATGAGCTTTATGTACAGAGCTAATTAGTAGATACTAATAATAATTTTTAAGAAATAAAAATAACTTAAATATTCAAGAGTAAACTAGGGTATATCCACTAGATGAGTATTAAGTAGGCATTAAACAGAAATTATGTTTGGGTGGTAGGATGATGAGTGATTTTTTTCTACTAATTTCCTAACTTTCCGTAATGATCATATGGTACTCTTCCCATGAAAACAAAGTAAAACTATTTTAAAAAGTCATATTTACCTATGGGTTATAAATTACCCTCATAATATTTAACTTATACAAAATTTTCTAAATTCCATTACTTGCCAAAATTATTATTAGGTAACCAGTAGTATGGAATTTCATTACAAAGAATATTATGTAAAAGGGTAAGGGCAGACGGTGTGTTGATTTCATTTCCAGATATTTCTCATTTAACTATAGAGATATTAGTCTAACTAGTGTCAGCATCTGAATATGTTACCATCCCAGGAATTCCCTGGCGGTCCAGTGGTTAGGCCTCCGTGCTTCCACTGCAGGGAACACGGGTTCAATCCCTGGTCAGGGAAGTAAGATCCTGCAAGCCACGTGGTGTGGCCAAAAAAAAGTATTTGAAAATGTGACCATCCCTCTTTTAACGTCTATTTTATAGCCTTATGCATCAGGCAGGAGTCACATTTCAAATTTGTCAATTTTGTTTCTATCAAGCCTAAAAATTAAAACTAAAGTCCACTTTACTGTGGGAGATGGTATGAAGGTTTCTAATCATCCTATGGAGAGTATTCATACTCAAGAGTCAAGTTACATGACAATCCCAGTTTCTAGCTTAGAAGATACTGCAGTATGATGAAAAGCATTAATATTCTGTAAGAATATATAAAAGTTTCACATAAAGAAGCAAAGAAAGAGGGAAAACATGAGTAAAGGAAACTAGAGTAGAAAATCATCATAATTTAAACTTGTTTTAAAGACTGCAGAAAAATCCTAGATGGTGAACCTCAGTTCGTTATCTTTTCAAAAGCTAAATCTTTTCTTTTGTTTTAAGATGTGATATAAAGAACTTCTAACTGCTGTCAGGAAATCTGGCTTCTGTTCTTAGCTCTTAAATGGGCAATTTGGGCAAGTCAATTATCCACTGGTCCTGGGTTTCTTCATTGATAAAAGAAGGAGTTTCGACTCACTAGATGATTTTCAATTCAAACCTCCCAATTCTAAAATGGTAATGTGATTGGCCAAGAGAAAAGAGTCATTACCTTGTTATAACCACTGATGGGTGAGTAGGTCACTCCAGGGCTATAAGAACCACTGCCACCTGATGACAGACCTTGTAGCTGAGGGCTGTATCCAGTTATACAGCTGGTGGTGAACTTGGGGCTGGTACTGGGTGAGCGAGATGGGCTATAACTTAATACACTCTGACCCTGAATTGAAGGAGAAGGTGGAGAGGGAGGGATTTGGGGTGCTGCCAGATCACGTGGAGGAGTAGTCTGTACAACTAGAAGGAACAAACAAATAATTGTAAGTATAAATAAAATTTCTATGAAAACAGATTTAATGAACTGAATCTTTTCCTTCAGGAAAAGGGCAAGTAATAGAGTGACCTGGTTGTTAAATTACATAAAGTATTACTACCAAAGGACACAAATGGTTGTTTACCATTTCCATAGAGTTCAAAATAAGAAATTGGCTTTAATGTAGCAAAAGTTAGTAATTTAAGTTTAACAGTAATTAAACAATGGAACAAAATTCCATGAGACTGTGAATGTTACTCAATTTATATAAATAGGAAAGATAATCATTGATCTTAAGACCATTTATTGTAGAACTGTTAAATACAGTTGAACCAGATGGCCTTAGGAGTCCCTTCTAGCTGAGTCTATGAGAAGAGAAAATTAAATTGAGAAAGATTTATTGCCAACCTTTCACCCACCTTTGCAAAAGATATGAAACACTTACCAGCTGTTTTCAACGCTAAAAGTGTTTGCTGTCCAGGGCTAACAACCAGACTTGTTGGTGCCACAGTGTACTTGAAATATCTCCAAAAATCAAATAAAGCGTTTAGGCTGAAGAGAAATCCAAGGGCAAGCTCTGGAAGAGAACAATTTATTTATTTTTTAAAAGGGGGGTGGAACATTTAAAGGGGGGAAACAAAACCATGCATACTTTAGCAGATTAACAACAAAATTGAAAACTATCTTCTTATTCCTAAGAGTTACCACTTCACTTAATGAATGTCTATTATGTGTAGGGCATTTACCAGTGAGTTTCAAAATATTATCACTAATCTTTACAAGCTTTTACAGTAAACATTTTCATCTTTGTTTTAAAGATCAACCACCAGTTGTAAAGAAGTCAAGTGACTTTTGCAGTAGCTCACAGCTAGTTATTGAAGCCATGATTCTAACTCAGGTATGCAGATTCCAAAACTCTTGCTCTTCCACTTGCCACACCACTTCCCTATCACAGACTTTAGCTTAATGTATGTATTAGACTTTGGAATTTACTTCAATGGCCATAAGGACCCTTTATACCCAAGGACTACTGAAGAGCAGACAGAGAGGAAGGATGAGGAAACTGAGGAAGACATCAATGGAGTAGAAATCGGGTTGATCTTGAAAGGTGAAAAAGTAGAGAAGTAGGGAAGGCAATTGAGGGAGACAAATACAAACACAAATCTTACCAGCTCCAAACTTTATTTTTCCTGATTATCTGGAATCGTGTTATTAATTTGATTGTCTCTTCTACTAGAATATTCCTTGTTCCCTTCCTGGTGTATTCCCAGTTTTGGGAACACAGCAGGCACTCAAATATTTGTCGAATAAAGGAATGAATACTAAGCTGAATTAAACTGGAACACAGTTTTTCACTGGGAGTAACTACATTGCAGTGAAAATTAATTACTTACCTATATACCAGAGGGGCCAGTATCTCACATTATAATATAAACTACACATTCTTCCAGTCCTGAAAAAATTTAAAAGGCTTTTTAATAGTAACAAAACAAAACCAAACCACACCAAAAATTAAAACAAACACAAAACCTGTGGAACCAACCATTGGCCTCTTAAATTTTCACTTTTCCCTCCCTTTTTGGCTAATTAACTTACATTTCAGTATATATCATTCCAGCCATAGATACATTTAGGAGTCCCCAGGCTAAAACCACTTTCCTAGCTTCTGTTTCTTTTCTCATCTTGATGGTTCTGTCAATAAGGGAAGCACTAGGGTTTGGCTCCTCTTGCATCTGTTCAAAATCAAAAAGCAGAATTAATTAAAAGAAACTACTTCTCCATTTAAGAAATCAAACTTGTTATAAGGTAACTAAAAATTGCATCTACTTTTCCTCATCTTCAAATGTCTTTCCTAACTTTTTCTAATTTTAATATTAGTATATGAAAAGGGAACCCTAAATTACAGCTTCATTGGCACCACACTGTAATCAACAGAGAACTGGCTGTTTCCTTCAGAGAATAATTTAACACTTCCAATAAAGAAAAATATCTTATTTTGTAATTTAAGGGTTAGTGGTTATGCTTGCAATTACGCCCTGTTGTGTTTTTGGAATATGTCACAAGGACTAGGCCAAGGGCTATAAGAAATTCAAAATACCAAGTTTTGGGAGAAAGTATTCCAAATAAGATATGTCATTACTCTCCTCCCACATGCTCGTGCATGTCATTAACTGCCTATGATCTTTATTTAACAACTCTGCACACGACCGACACACGCCAGAGATCTCTGATTCGTGTTGCTGATAAAATATAGGGATTTAAGTTTGAGAAGGGCGAATACTCATGGTGTGAAGGGGATACGGGTGAGTTGGGGAGAGTGCGCAGTTTTGGTCCACATTAGGATTTATTATTTCCTCTGTCTGTTTTCCTAGGCCTCATCTCTTGCAGACAAGTGTTAAGACTTGTTCCAGATACATGGAGTCGTCTCCCACAGAGTAAGAGCAGTACCCTTCCCGCCACCCTGCCCCCGAGTCAACACTACCCAATGCGGAGAGCTTCCCTCCCTGGCTCTCGGAGCACAAACTTTACGGCTTCTTTCCTCCCTTCCACCACGGGTAGTGGAAGGTCTGGCCACACTCCCCTTTGGCTGAACCCTCGGCAGGTCCACACGCACGTTAACTCCCACGGCCCGCGTGGACTCAAGAGTCCAAACACCACAAAGATAACCCCGAAAACGCACCGCGTTCTTCGCCCGGAAACGGCTGGCTCGCGCCACTCTCCACTGCACATGCGCGAAGCCAAGCATTAAGGCGAAAGCGACCGGCTTGTGGAGCTAGTTACAGGAAGTACGAGACTCTTTCTTCTCGCGAGAAGAGGGGAGTTGGGGAGGGACAGGGGCTAGGGGCGTTACCAGGGAAACAGCCGTTGGATTTGTGGCGCCAGCTCAGGTGAGGGGAGAAAGCTCAGCCGGAAAAATTCAGACCAGGTTCTGAGCCCGCAGTAAAAAGTAATAACTATAAGAAGCTGAATTTCTATATATTAATATAACTTTAGCTTCCTTAGGGCGCTTATGGACACATTTTTTTTTGTTTTCGGTACGCGGGCCTCTCACTGCTGTGGCCTCTCCCGTTGCGGAGCACAGGCTCCGGACGCGCAGGCTCAGCGGCCATGGCTCACGGGGCCCAAGCCACTCCACGGCATGTGGGATCTTCCCGGAGCAGGGCACAAACCCGTGTCCCCTGCAACGACAGGCGGGCTCTCAACCACTGCGCCACCAGGGAAGCCCTATGGACACATTTTAAAGCAGATTTTATTAAGCAGGGTGGCCAAGTGTAGGATACAGAGTACTTGATGATGGGTCCAGACACCATCAGCAATGACAAAGCATTTCTCATACCTCTGTGTTTAAAAAAAAAAAAAAAAATTAAGTGTTCTGACCCGATGTAAATTCTAAAATATCCGTGTAACGAGGGTGCAGCAGTAACAAGAAAAACCAAATTGTTTTGTTAAAGTTGTTAGTGGTTTTGAGGGGTTTTTTTCTAAAAAAAACCCCACTCTTTACTTTTCCTGCATATTCTTTGGAAGAATTTCTAATCCTGAGGAAAAGGTTCATCAGGGAGTTCAGTTTGCTTTTTTTTTTTTTAACATCTTTATTGGGGTATAATTGCTTTACAATGGTGTGTTAGTTTCTGCTTTATAACAAAGTGAATCAGTTATACATATGTTCCCATATGTCTTCCCTCTTGCGTCTCCCTCCCTCCCACCCTCCCTATCCCACCCCTCCAGGCTGTCACAAAGCACCGAGCCGATATCCCTGTGCCATGCGGCTGCTTCCCACTAGCTATCTACCTTACTACGTTTGTTAGTGTGCATATGTCCATGACTCTCCTGTCACAGCTCACCCTTCCCCCTCCCCATATCCTCAAGTCCGTTCTTCAGTTGGTCTGCGTCTTTATTCCTGTCTTACAGTTTGCTTTTATCTAACAAATACAAACGCCCACAATGTGCCGCTGAGCCGCGCGAGGATGTGAAAATAAAATCTTCCCTGGTTACCACTTGGAGGAGCTTAACCCGGGGGAGGCCGGTAGGTTCTGTAGAAAGGCAGGTGAAGTGGGGCGCAGTGAGCCCCGAGGAGTCGCGGCGGGCTCAGCTCTGGATCCCCGCGAGCTTCCTGGAGGAGGCGATGAGGGCCTAAAGCAGACCGGCATGGTCCAGGATGCGTGCGCTTGGTCTGGAGACTTGCTCGTGGGGATGCAAAGTGTGCCTCTAATAAAAACATCATGCCGTGTCATAATAAGCTAACGGATTGTTACATCTTGTACGTCCCAGTGACCAAAATTTTTTCCTAAAATGCTCCTAAGTTCCAATAGAAGAAAATGAAGTTTCCTTGTGGTATTGAATGTTAATGAAAATCTGCAGGTATGCTGTGCTCTTAAAGATGTAACCAATTTTTTTGGAGTGGAGTTTTTATATTTTTTAGATTGCCTTAGCAGCAATGGTGTTTTGCTCTAGTTTTAGATATAGAGATGAACTAACTTGAAAATTGTGCAAATGTACAGTCAAAGTTAGAATACGAGTTTCCTCCCCAACCCACGTCTGACTCTTTCATAAGAAGAAATTGTGCATGTTTGATGTAATTCACAACAGGTACATCTATGTTTTCCCTCTTAATGTAATCTATGAATTACTGTGCATTTATTCAAGGCTTAAAAAGGAACACGACTACTACCTAAATTAGATGTATTGTTGGCATTATGTGTTAGTTTGCTAGTGTTGCCATAGCAAAATACCACAGACTGCGTGGCTTAAACCACAGAAATTTTTTCACAGTTGTAGAGGTTGAAAATCTGAGATCAGGGTGCCAGCAGGATTGGTTTCTCCTGAGCCTTGTGTCCTTTGGCTTGCAGATGGCCCCTTTCTCTGTGTCCTCACATGGCCTTTTTTTCCTGTGCTTGCACATCCCTTATGTCTCTTCCTTTTCTCATAAGAACAAGAGTCATTTTGGATTAGGTCCCCATCCTTATGACTTCATTTAACCTTAATTACCTCTTTAAAGTCCCTGTCTCCAGTTATAGCCAAATTGGGGCTTGGGGCTTCAACATAGGCATTTTGGGGAACACAATTCAGTCAATAATACATTAGAACTCTGTATGTTAATTTACAATGATATGATATATATCAAAGAGACTGAAAAAAATGAATGGACACCTCAGAGACTTAGATTTTAAAGACATTAAAGTACTTCCCTGGTGGTCCCTGGTGGTCTGCGCTTCCAATGCAGGGGGCATGGGTTCAATCCCTGGTCAGGCAAGTTCTGCATGCCATGTGGTACAGCCAAAAAAAAAAAAAAAAAAAAAAAAAAGACATTAAAATACTGTATTTAAAGAAAAAACTTTATATAAAAATTTCAGGAAAAAAAAAAAAAAAGATTATGGCAGAATGCACCATATTAAGATATGGGGCATATACCTTAAACTTTCATAGAAGTGATTTAGACAGATCTTCCAAAAACTTAGTAATCCAAGAAATGTTTGTCAGTTCCTGTCATAGTTACTGAAGAATATGTCATAATAGGTTGCCAAGGAAGTTGTCGTACACATGGAGTGAAGTACTTCCCAGTCTTCTTCATCCCTTTGAGGGGAATATGTTCAAGAAGCCATCATGGGAGACCTTTTTTCTTTATTTTGGGAGGTAGATCCTCCCCCCATACCTACAAGTTTTGCCATTCCAAATCAAGATTATGAATGCCAGAAGGGTGACTCTTGTGAGACAATAGGGAACTTCCTGCTTTGGTATTTTGTCATTTTATTGGTCTTCTCCCAACCATTATATTGGTTCTTCTCTCGGGCTTCTTTCTGGGTAGGATATCCTTTTTCATTTTAAATAATATATTTACTGTATACTAGGGGATTTTCCATAAAATAAATTTATTTTACATTGGTGAAACTACTTTTTAAAAGTTTGTCTTCTAGTTTTAAAAATAATGCAGTATCATTCTAGAGAACCCAAGAATATAGAAAAGGATGAAGAAGAAAATTTAAACTACTGTAATCCTATTTCCTAGAGATAACCACTGTTAACATTTTGGAGTATGTTCTTCTAGTTTTTTTCTTTTTCTGCATCACAGTATATCTCTCTTCATCTGTCTGTCTTTGATCTTAGATGGTTGGCATTATATTTTATATATTTTTATAACCTGCTTTTTTAAACTTAATATTATATTCTAATCATTCCTCAAATTATATTTACATAGCAGCACTCTTAATGACTACATAATTTTGTCATGGTTGCACCATAACAAATCTGCAATTTTGAGATATTTAGGTGGTTCTCAGTTTGTCCAAATGCTAAGTAATACTGGGATAAACTTCCCTACTGGTTAATGACCTCCAAATTCCTTTTGTAGCTGTGTAATTCTAATCAAAGATACAGAAGTTGTCATATATAATATAGGATACATGTTGTAGGATTTTGGGTTTTTAGAATGAGGCATTACATTCTCCACATAGAAAAAGATACAGAACTAAACTAAACAGAGCTAAAGTCACCACTCTAGACCACCTACCAGGGGAAAAAATGCCATCCTAAGGAGTGAGATAGCCCACTTAATCAGGGCTGTGATGCTCCCACATATTATGAGTAACTGAGGTCTTATAAATTGCTGATGTGGAATCCTTGCTGACCATTAATACCAGGCTGATGATTAATAAAACCACCACTGGGTTTCCCTGGTGGCGCAGTGGTTGAGAGTCCGCCTGCCGATGCAGGGGACACGGGTTCATGCCCTGGTAAGGGAAGATCCCACATGCTGCAGAGCGGCTGGGCCCGTGAGCCATGGCCACTGAGCCTGCGCGTCCTGAACCTGTGCTGCGCAACGGAAGAGGCTGCAACAGTGAGAGGCCCGCGTACCGCAAAAAAAACCTCAAAAAATAAAACCACCACCATTTAGCATTACAGCCAGAGCACTAGGCTGGCAATGGTCAGCTAGGCTGAATGCTGTTATCAGCTCTAGATGGAGAGGAGGAGGCTTGTTATGTCTATGCCAGCTGGATTCCATTGTAATAATCAAAGTCTCTTCCCCTCATCACCTCCTCCCCCTAAAAAGAAGTTTCATCTAAAGTCTAAATGCTTAAGATAGATACCTTGCCAAAAGAATATTTAGAATAGTGATAGCTTATACATGTCTTAGACTCCCTAGCTAAGTACATTGAATTTGTCTAGCCTGGCAAGAAAAGCTACTTTAGAAAATTAACAAAAAGTTGAAATTGATTCTTGGCAATTTCATCATGAAGACCCCCTTGAGAGGTCTAAGTTCTTTCTCTGCTCCCTTGCTTGCATCAGCTTTTGGAGTCACAGAGCCCTGAGCTTCAAGGACCTCAAGAGAGCTTATGGTCCAGCCTCCTGCTTGTAGGCAAGTAAGATATCAGTATCTATCCTTTGTATTTTTATTGATAAAGCCCAAAGAAATTAAGTGACTTGTCCAATGACACATGAGTGGTTATGACAGAGAGGAGAATAGACCCAGGTTTCCTGCCATATCATTTGTTTGTTTCATAGCATAGTTGAAATGTTGAATTATATCTATTCAGTGCTGATTAAAACCTTAATTATCTTAGAGGTTTTGTCTTTCACTTTGTACCCTTATGGCAACTATAATCCACTCAACTGCTTCTTCTAAAGGGTCCCAGATTTGAAATCTGAGAACCACATGAGAGCTAGTCAAAAAGGATGGAATTTTTCCTTCACTTTGAACTTCATTTTCTCTGCTAAATTATGAACATTTATTTACAAACCTTGAAGTAATGGTAAAAGCGTGATGGAAATGTGGTGGTAATTACCCTCAAACATGAAGCACACTGATTTCCTCTGGATTTGCCACTATCTAAGATGCATGTACCCTTTTGCTCTCAGAGATTATATATACTATATTTAGTTTATATATATTTTTAGTGTTTATTCAGACAGCTAGTGCTGGAATTTTTCCAAACAAAACCAGTCCAGGCTCTTCTTTTTGCATATGTGGAAACTGAGCTTAGGAGGTGTTACGTGGCTTGGTAAAATCACACTGGAAGAAAGGCAGAGCCATAGCCCAGATCTCACCACTGTCCTACCCTACACTTCAGGGCAGGCACTTCTGCTGTTTTCACTCAGCTGAGTCACACACAAAGACACTTAATAAAATGCTTTTGGTAACCACAGTTCATATGATTCCACTTAGCTTGATGTAAAATCTTTCTTTTGATTTTGTGATTACATTTTGATTTGACATCAAGTCAAATATGGAAGCTTTCCATGAAAAAGATATAAACCTAATAAGTGTTTTAAAACACTTTCCCCCCTGAATTACAAAAGTACCCATTATAGAAAATGTGGACATTATAGGAAAGTAGAAAAAATGAAATAAAAACCACTCCAGATTATATAGAAATAATCAACTACTGTTAACTTTTTAAGGTTCATAAACTTCTAATATTTTAATAATCATCTCTATACATTTTAAATTTAAAATAAGGCCACCCAAAAACATTTTTAAAAAACAGGTATCTTAAAAGAGGATTTCACTGAAAGCTTTCAGAGAATGATTTCAGTAACCCAGAAAGCAAAGAGGTACCTCGTTAGAGAAACTTGCCTACCATTGTGGAGATCAGGTATTAAGAAAGGAGTGGACCAAAGATCTTAGATTGCAGTTATGAATAACCAAGTGTGGTACTTTTCAACCCAGAGGCAGTATGACTTTCTACATAAATTCATTTTTTCCCTAATTGTAGACAATTTTAAGAATTAGAAGGAAAAAAAATCAGTTTCAACACTCAAAGCCACTATTGCTAACACTTGCGTACATCCCTTAGTCTTTTTTCTTTTCATATTTTTAGCTAACTTGTGATCATACGGCATATATAAATTTGCATCTTGATTTTTAACTTAATATTATAACATTTATTTCCTCATGTTAGAACATACTTTTATTATAATTTTTACAACTATATATTGTATGATTACATCATAATTTATTTAACTATTGCCTCCTTTTTAAAAAATCTATTTATTTTTGGATGCATTGTGTCTTCGTTGCTGCGTGTAGGCTTTCTCTAGTTGCGGTGAGTGGGGGCTACTCTTTGTTGCAGTGCGTGGGCTTCTCATTGCAGTGACTTCTCTTGTTGTGGAGCACAGGCTCTAGGCATGAAAGCTTCAGTAGTTGTGGCACGTGGGCTCAGTAGTTGTGGCTTGGGGGCTCTAGGGCGCAGGCTCAGTAGTTGTGGCACGTAGGCTTTGTTGCTCCACAGCATGTGGGATCTTCCCAGACCAGGGATCGAACCCTTGTCCCCTGCATTGGCAGGCGGATTCTTAACCACTGCGCCACCTGGGAAGTCTGAGCCGACTTTTGAATTTTGTATTTATATTACCCTAATTACATTGGGATAAATATTTCTGTACGTAAAACTTTCTCTCTTTTAGAGTTTATTTCCCAGTGATAGATTCCCAGAATTATTATGTGCCAAAAGTGTTATGAGTATTTCTAACATACTTGATATATTTTGAAAGAGTTGCTTTGTATGCATATCTTTTAGCAAAACCATTTTCAGCATCAAAAAGTGGGACACGTGAAAAATGGGACAAATATATTTATGGAATATTGGGGCAGAATTAGAACTATTCAAAGAAATCAATTTCTTCTAGTTGCCATATTCACAGGTAATATATTATGGTTGCATTGTGGAGGAAAGTTTCGGAAGGATTTAGGAGATATAAGTCTATGAATTCATATAAAGATCTTAAAGAATTATCATAACATGACCTGATAAAATGTCCTTTAAAAAGTAATTTAAAACTGGGACTTCCCTGGCGGTCCAGTGGTTAAGACTCCGTGCTTCCACTGCAGGGGGCGTGGGTTTGATCCCTGGTCGGGGAATTAAGATCCCACAAGCTGTACATTATGGCCAAAAATTTTAAAAAAAGTAATTTAAAACTAATCCTAGTACTATCATATCTGTTTTTAAATGACATTTAAATGATATTTCTCTATAAAATCAGTTAGTATAAGAAAACTTTGTAACTAATAGCTTCTCATCAGTATTATTTTCTCTCAATCTTTGTTCCATTTTGCTGGGTTCAAAACATTTTGGTAGATCCTGCTATCAAAGCATGGTCTTCTTAATGGGCAGCAGAAGTAGGATCAAAATAATAGGAACTCAGTAAGTATTTATTGAACTGCACTGTTTAAAATTAGACATTGTCAAAGGGCCCAAGGCAATAGTGTTTCTTAACAAGTAAATACGAGGGAAAAACAACCAACTGAGATCACTATTACTAATCGATATTTCTGAAACAGATGTCTGAGAAGAAAAAGAATGAAGACAATGGGACAAGCAGTTCGCTAAGTAAAGGTGAGAGCCAGTGCATATTTGATATTGGACTATGATGAGAGAAATATGTGTTGTGTGTGGAAAGCAAACAACAGAGGTAAATAGCCAAGAGTGTTATAGAGCCTCCCCAGACCTGTGGTGGCCCACTGGATGAACACCTTGCTTTGGTGCAGAAGGACTGCTTAGCTACTTCAGCAAAGCTGCTAGAGGCTATAAATTACTGTTAGGTAGAGTTCAAGCTGTCTTTTCATTCCTCAGCATTCTCCCGTCACACAGCTTGCCTTTCACATACATTTATTGCTAGTGTTACCACAGAACTATGAGCTATATATGACATCTTTTTCAATAACCTATAAATAGTGGTGTGCTGATAAATGTCTAACAACTGGCTCTCCAAAAATGTGTGTATATATCATTTAAAAGATTTTGCTAACATAAAGGATGTATATCAGACAATTTACAAATAATAAAACATATAATACACTTTATGGTAAATTCCATATAGGCCACTGATTCTCACAAAATAGTTTTTTGATTATAGCCTTAGCCAACCTATAGCTGCAATAGATGAACGAGTGTAGTTCTAATTTGCATGTTATTGATACTTTCCTTTAAGTTAAGGAGTAAGATGAAAGAAACAGAAAGATGTATGTTGGAACTGAACTTGGTTGTTAATGATGTATATGACATCTTTGTTGAGCTGGATAATAGTTTTAGAATACTCTGGAAGAATATTTCCTCATTTTTGGGTGCTATTCACAATATAGCGGCTATAGGCATGACACCTTTAAATGTAATCTATGTCAGTAACATGTTCTCCATTACTTTAAGTCTAGACAATCAAGAAAACCATAAGTGAAGACCTGATTCTTAGTGCTTGTTGATTTTTATTCCCACCAAAACTAATTTCAGGTTACCAACATGATGTCACTGAACATAGGAGTTAGGAAGAGATGCACAGTAGCACATCATTGCATAGTATTTCTGATATCCAGAGACAAGAGACATAAATAGTAGCTTCAAGAGCAAACCTCACAATAAAATCTAGTAAAATAATTTAGGAAGTGATGAGTTTTGAGTATTTATTACATTTATTTGTAACAAATTGATTTAGTGATAAGTTTATACAATTTAATTTTTACCAATAACCAATAATGTTTAACCAATTATTTAATTTTTACCAATAACCAATAATGTTCAACAGCCATCTTGCAAAATTCCTGAAAGTTTATCAGTTCTTGTGAACTGGCTGGTGTGAGCCAACTCCAGCACACCAGTGTATAAAGAGAAGATCCTTTTTAGTTTTCTGCTACCCAAATCACATTCATATACACGCTTGCATCTTTAAGCCGTCAAGGCAAAGGTAAAAAGGTCCTTCTCTGGAAAAGTTTGGAGACTTTTCCCTTGATATTATATCAAGTGTCCATGAAACTTCAAAAGTAATATGTCAAGCATCTATCTGACCCTTTTGGTTTTTAGGAGTTTTGGTATGGTACTGGAAAATGAAGTCAGCTGCCAACACTTGCAAATGAGTGGGGAAAAGTGGTGGCTTGGCAAATGGCAGCAAAGAGTGAGCCCACGCGATAGGCTTCCTTTTTAGGTAAGATGAGATTATAGTAACCAGCAATGTGCCTAACTTGTTGATTTGTTTCATTGTTGTTAGCAAGCAAAGATACTTCCTATAAGCGGCAAAACAAAGATGGTGCCAGGGATTCTTTGCAAATGATGACAAAACCAAAGCAGAACCAACTTCCTCTTGTAACTGACTCAGAAGTGGCTTTGGTCAATGCATATCTTGAACAAAGACGAGCGAGGCACCATTCTGAATTCAGCCGGGTGAATCAGACACAACCTGACAGTGATACTACTGAGTGTGAGAGTGAAGTATCTAACTCGGGAGCCTCCTCTTGGAAGGAGAGTGAAAGTGAACACCACCAATCACCAGCCAGTATTAAGAAGAGAAAAATAGCTCAGAGGCAAAGGAATATGGGAGGTTGCCAAATCAGGGAAAGGCCCTGCCTCCACTGCAAAGCCATGAGAACCAATGAATGGCTGACCCGCCATTTCCTTCAAAACGCTTCGGTAACAACCCCAATGCAGGGAGATATTCAAGAATGAAATTCTGGACCTGGTATTAACATAAAATTCAGTAAATTTTGAATTTTATCTAGTCCTTACCTTACTTGAAGCCAAATGAAAGAGATGAATAAAACACAAAAAATGACCAGAGCTCTAGGTGAGGAGGCTTTTACAATAAAGTCTCTCTACTAACAACAAAAACATTCTTGGAATGCAAGAGATAAAATTTCAGATAGGGCTTCCCAGGTGGCACAGTGGTTGAGAGTCCGCCTGCCGATGCAGGGGACACGGGTTCGTGCCCCGGTCCGGGAGGATCCCACATGCCGCGGAGCGGCTGGGCCCGTGAGCCATGGCTGCTGGGCCTGCGCGTCCGGAGCCTGTGCTCTGCGGCGGAAGAGGCTGCGGCAGTGAGAGGCCCGCGTACCGCAAAAAAAAAAAAAAATTTTCAGATAATTCTTTGTCCAAAAACAGACCAGTGAATTTGTTTATGGCACCATTGGAGCATCAAAGATCTGTATCCACTGTGATTTTTTTTATTCAGAAGAGCCCAAGACAGATACTTTATGCCTTATGTATTTTGTTTATATCTGTAATACAAATAAGGAACCTCTTTGAAAATATATTTATGTTTAGAAACTATTTAAATTTATTCATATGTTTTGATTATCTGATTGACTGAATGAATTAGGTAATGTTGGTTGGAATAGAATTGGCTCATATTCTCCAGATCCATATTTACAGGTGGCTCTACCTGAGCTGTATTTTTTTTTTTTTTTTGGCTGCGAGGTTGTGGGATCTTAGTTCCCCCATCAGGGATTGAACCCAGGCCCTCGGCAGTGAGAGCGTGGAGTCCTAACCACTGGACCGCCAGGGAATTCCCTACCTAAGCTGTATTGATGCACATGTGTCAGCTTGGGGCTGGTGAGGAGGAGCTGGAATGAGACTGGATTCCTAGAGTAGACCAGAAGGACAGCTGGGCCATGGGCTGTCCGTGGTTATTGTCCAAAGGGCATGACAAGTATTAAAGAAAAAATTATTCTTACATGTGTTAAAATGATAAGGAAGACTTTATTCAAGACTATTTGTAATAGGGGTCCAGTCTATTGCAACTGGGGAGAGAAGTCAAGCTCAACTCCAAATACAGCAAGTTCAAGTGGGGATTTATAACCAAGGAGCAGGGTAAGGGTGTCAGTGGATGGAAAATTACTAAGAGGAGCCATCAAGCATAGGGAGATTTCTACTAAATTGACCTGGCATGATTCTTGCTAAAGGCAGACCAAGGACTTATACAGCAAAGGTAGAGGATGAGGAACTTGATCAGATGTCAAGGGTGCTCAGATATCAAGGGTGGGGGACTGTCACTAAACTTACTTAGCAGAATTCTTGCTAAAACTGGACTGGGCAGCCAAAGACAGGATGGGCGCCAAGGTTGAGATCTGGATGAGAAGAGGGCTCAGAAGAGCCTAACTCAAATTTGTCAAAGAAAGAGTCTTTATTGAAAGTTAGCCGCAATCCAGACATAGTTGGGGCTGAGTTTTCCAGTTAGGCGGGGACCCCAGTGGTGGGGAATTCAAGCAGGCCTAGTAGATGGGTGGCTATTCTGGAGGATGGCAGAACCCCAAGTGGGATATCAAACAAGGCCCAGATCCCAGAGAAGAGGGCTGACAAGGACAAGATAAGCAGCAGGGGCTCTGTGCTGGAGTTCAAAGAAGGGTTTAAGTGTTAGGGACGAATTTGGATACTACATTGATAAAGACTGCAGCTTAATACTAAGAACTGAGCCTTTTATGGGGTATTGGGAGAAATACAACAGAACTATGACTGTGGGCTTGGGAGTTACTCCTGATAATTTCAAGTTCCTTAACTAACGGCAACAAAGAGACCCGGGAGGCAATGTGGAAGTCCCAGCCATTGGAACTAGGCCGCTAGAATCCAGGACATGGGGTGACATTTCTCAGCTTATTTGTGGAGACTGTCTTATTCAGATTTCCTCAGGATTGGAACAGGTCTGAGGCTGCAAGTGAAAAGAGGACAACTTCAGGTTTCGACTTCAAGCATCAACCTTTTCCACAAAGACTTCCTTTACTTCTTGATTTTACCCTCCTCCACTTTGTCTCCTCAGGCAGAACTCACTGTGCCCTCCCTTATGCTCCAATGTACCTTGAAAAGTTCTCTATCTCAGCACCCTTAACATTTTAATGCATGTATTTGTTTGTGTATATATATATATATATATATATCTCCACCCTTAAAGATAGAGTCCATGACTTATCTGTATCTCTGTGACCCAGCACAGGGCCAGAAAACATGGCAGATAAATAATGCAGTTGAATCAATATGCAGAGGGATTCATGAATGCAAAAGGGAGGAGCTGAGGAAAGCAGAGGCAGAGAAAGCAGGGCAGGGGCCAATATCTAAAATTTAGTGAATGATTCTGATATTTTCTAACTTTATATGATCAAGATGCTTGTTATCTTGTTTATTTAAATAGCACCAAAACAAAATCCAAATACCAAAAGCCAAAAACACAAACTCAAAATATAGTAGTAAGTTGCAGGGGCAGGATTTAGACCCAAGTCATCTGACTTCAGAGTTTGGGCTCTTAATTACTGTGATCTTAGCCATTATTCTCTGAAGATGGAAAAATCCTGATTTCAAGGTAAGTCAGTTGCCACCTCCCACACAGCCATAAGTGATATCCAAGCTGATATAATCTCATCAGGAAGAGGACAATGACTGTATTCTAGATAACAGAGTACGATGGGTCCATGCCCCAAATGTGTTGCTTGTGGATCTAAAATATAAGCAATGAACTATTATCCGAAAAGTCATGTATGTCAAAGACTACTACTTTTCATGGTCTCATCTATGGGGCTAGCACAGGTCAGAGTTGGGGGGTGGGAGATAGCTGTCCACTGGAAGAAGGAATCATGGATGAGTTA